CTCCCTTTGGTTCATACTTTCGGAGCGTATGCCCTTTTCCTCTGGTGCGTCTAAACCGGCGGTTCGGCTGGTGTGTCTCCCCACTAAAGGACCTAGTTCTACAGTTCTCCAATCTCAGGTTCCGGTTCAAATTCAGCCTTTTATGTGATACCGTCGAAGATCGGTGCCAATAAATAATTATAGTTAATAGATTATTAGGATTGGATTTACCAAAAGACTGCTATGGTGAAAAATGGACCACAATTAGAATAAAGAGATAAATTGAATATTTTGTACTATATATCCTTGTCGATTTATTCATAGGAACTCTTTCATAGGGATTTACACAGTAAAGGATAAGGAATTTGTGAAATTTTACCAAATATGATTGACTATTGCGATAAAAATGGAAAAGAGTCAAAAAGGTGTGGGTGTAGACAATAATAAAATGGCACTTGAGTGGAGTGTAAAATCTGCTGAAATGGTCAATTAAGAAATCAGCAATTGTAGTAGTCTTTGACACAGTTTTGAAATACAACAGATAGAAAGTGAAGGCTACGTAGTTGATTCTGATAATAGGTTGTTGAATCGGAAGTTTAGTTCAGATAGTAAACTCAAGTAAGAAATATTTAGAAGTTAAGAGTACTAGATAGTGAGATTATCTTGGATTGATTATAATAAATTTGAAAATATTAGAGAAAAAGAAAGAAGAATTCATCAATACAATATAGTACAGCAAAATTAGATAGAAAAGAGGAAGTTATACCTAGAGCAATTTATGATTTAGACAAAAATATGCAAGAAATTGAAGAGTTACTAATGAAATCCTATATTTCTAAAATGTATTGAAGTATTAAAAAATGATCATAGTAATTAAGATTTCATGGCTCACAAAAGAGGTTCACTATAACAAGCTAACAATTTGATTATGCTCGAGCAATTTGAATAAAGCTCACGACCAAAAACTTTAAAAGATAGACATGATTTGGGAATCTGGCTCAGGTAAGAGTAGTAGATAGTTAAGTGATGAAATGCAAATACCAATTTTTAAGTGTAGAACCGATTAGAAGTGTTGTTGACTATGAGAACATTAGTCAAGTGAGTCTAGCTCCTGTTATGGTCAAGACTGGTTCTATGACAAAAATTGGTCCAGAACTCATGCAACGGATTTGATAGCAGATAGTTTAATACATGTAACCGATCAATCAAGGATCAATCAAAATATATAAAAAATATATAAATAAAGTAAAAAATAAGTATTAGATAATGAGGTGTGGCGGCTTAGTGAAGTGGTCAAGTTGTCACCCTCTCCAAGTAGCAGGTCTAGGGTTCAAATCCCACGG